CTTTATTTTATTTCTTTTTCTTGGTTTATTACACTATCTAGGGTTTCCAAAGCAATATGAAATAGAAGCGGTGATAGAGGGCATTCTGGTCTTGTTCACCATCCAAAGAGGAAAGCTTTTTATAATTCAATGTTAAGTTTGAAGTTTACTGTAGATTTTTTGTGGGTATTCTTTGCCAGATTACAGAAGTTCCTTCTATTCCTTACTTAAGTTTTTTAAAATTTTTATTATAAATGTATGCATTTTATTATATTACATTTGTTGAGGTGATTGTATGCATTTTCTGCTTATTGTAATGTGAATTAATTACTTAATTTTCAGGTGTTAAACCATGCTTGCATGCTTGGAATGACACTCTTGGTCACAATTTTAAAAAAATATATATATCACTGGTTTCAATTTGCCAATATTTTACCTAGGATTTTCACATCTAAGTTAATGATAGTGATTAGTTTGTAAGTTTCTTTTCTTGTAGTGTCCTCTTCAAGTGTTGGCTGGCCTCATAAAAAATGAGTTGGGAAATATTACCAATCATTCTTTGGAAGAATTTATGTAAGATTATTTGTCTCTTAAATGTTTTAAATAATCCCATCTTTGTGGGAGAGTTTTTAATAATGGGTTTAATTTGCTAATTTTATTTCATTGTGGCCAGATAACATACTCTGTATGATTTCAGTCCTTTTAAATTTATTGAGACTCCTTTTATGGCCTAACATATGGTTTCTCCTAGAGAATTTTCCTTGTGTATTTGAGAAGAATGTATTTTCTGCTGTTGTCTGGTAGAGTGTTCTATAGATATCTGTTAGGTCTAGTTGGTTTATAGTGTTGTTCAAGTCTTCTACTTCCTAGTTGATCTTCTGTCTGATTGTTCTATCCATTGTTAAAGTGAAGTATTGAAGTTGCCAACTAATATGTTGTAGGAATTTCTCATTCTCATGCTATATTAGTCAGGGTTCTCCAGAGAAACAGCAGCAACAGGATATATGTGTGTATGTGTATATATATGTATGTACATATATAGAGAGAGAAGTTCTAAAGAATTGGATCACCCGATTGTGGAGGCTTGGTGAGTCCAAAATCTGATGGGATAGGCTAGCAGTCTAGATACTCAGGGAAGAGTTACAGTTCTAATCCAGAGGCGGTCTGCTGGCATAATTCCTTCTTCCTTGGAGGAGGTCAGTCTTTGTTCTATTAAGGCATTCAACTAACTGGATGAGGCCCACTCACATTGTGCAGGGCAGTCTGCTTACTCAAAATCCATCAATTTAAATGTTAATCTAATCCATAAAAGCCTCACAGAAACATCCAGAATAATGTTTAGGCAAATATCTGGGCACCATGCCTGAGCCAAGTTGACATAAAATTGACCATCGCACATGCTTCTTCACACTCTGCCTCCAGCAGTTTGTCAAAATTACCATTGAAGTGTTCTTCCCTTTAGATTTTATTATACTTATAATATAAACCAGGCTGTAGAATTAGAAAAACCAGAGTTCCAGGCCATCTCTGCAATTTCTTATCCTTGTGACTTTGAGCATCTCTACTAAATTTTCTCTGTGTTATGAGTTAGGAAATTAAAGCCAGTAGGTTTAAGTGATTTGTCCAGGGTAATAATGCAAATTAGAACTAGTGATCAAAATTCTATTTGAATTCTTGTCCTTGTACACAATTCATTCTAAATGATGTTTTGAATTTGATAGCAATAAAACACATCTGACAGTTATTTTAACTACATATGAGAATTTCATTTGAGAATGCCAGATATATGTTTTGTTTAAATATATAATTAGTGAGATTGCTGCCTTTTAGTTCTAGCTTTGTCTTAGACTATTTAACCAGTTTTGTCCTAAAATTTTCATTTTGCAAATATGAGTGGAAACCTTTTATGTCTTTGTCCCAGGGGTATTCTAAGTATGATTTCAGTTACATGTGTAAGATAGTGATCACTGATGAAAGGAATCTTAAGAGAACATTTGGCTTACTGCCAATTTTAAAGAAGGGGACCTCCTAGCTTATTTTAATAATCTTTCATTTTATTAATGACTTTTGCTGAAATAAAAATGTGTCTTCATGGAAATCCTGTAAAAGTTTCTTCTGGGCTATGTTATTTCAGAATACCCTCATAAAAAAAAACTAACTAAATAGATATTAGCTGAAAGAGTTTGAGCCTAATTAGCATAGAGGGGAATAATCTCTTGGCTTGGGATGGAGGTTTTGATTTCATAGTCCAGTTTATTTGCATCCTAGGACGCAGTGTAATGTAAATCAAGTTAGATCTGGGTTTAAATTCCAGCTCTGCCACTCAATAACTTGTATCTTTGGATGAGTTATTAATTTTGCTGAGTTTCAGTACCTTTTTCACAAGGTTATTGAGGGCTTAAAAGTACCTAATTCAGTCCTAGATATCTTGAAGGAACTTAACAAATATTGGTGTCATCCATCTTTTTCTGTATTTACACATGGGCAAATGGGAATATATTTTCTGGCACTAACGAGAATGATACATCGTTTCAAATGCTTGCTTTACCCATAGTTAATAGCTTATAATAAGGTGTGATGTTTGTTGTTTTGCTTATATAACTTGACCTTAAAAAAAAAGATTATACGAAGACTCTTATTAGAGATATGTATGTGTTTTGAATATATACAAAATGTCACAATATATAGTCTTAAAGTTTGAAAGGAGTAACCATGAAGCTCATCTAGTCCTTTTCGTTTCTCAGGGTAGAATTCCCTTCCATGACATCCTTGATCTTGATGGGTATCAATGATCTGCATGAATAGTTTTAGTGATTGTGATCTTACTCCCTCTTAAGAGCCGTTCTTTTTTAGAATGCGCCATTAATTAGAAAGTTTATCCTTATTTTGTCCTTTACTATGTCTCCTAATAATTCTACCCTTTGATCCATTCTACGCAAAAAGCTTCATAGAACAAACAAACCTTGTTCCACATGTGTGCAGGAACCATGTCTTAGTCATCTTTCTGTCCTCAGAGTCTATGGTAGTAAGTACCTCGCTCAAGATAGGGGTTTTATTTAGTGAATAATAGAGGTTCAGATATTTTTAAATGTACTTTTATATATTTTTTCATATATAAACTTTTAAAATTTAGTCATTTTTTCATTACTCCTGGTAAAAAATTATTTTTTTTAATTTTTTGTGTTGACAAAATTAAACAAGGAATATTGATTTACGTTTATGTCTGATATCACTTATTATATAACTTAGAAATTAATAACTTTTCTCAAAGATAGAATTTAAAAATTCAGTATTATTTCCTTCTCTTTCATTCAGTTGTTCTTGTAATGTAATTCTGAAGGATGAAAACATATTACATTGTTTTTTATTTCTTTTCTTTTTTTTTTTTAATTTTTTGTTTATTGCAGTAACATTGTTTATAACATTGTAAAAATTTCAGGTGTACATCATTATACTGCTATTTCTGCATAGATTACATCATGTTCACCACCAAAATACTAATTACAACCCATCACCACACACATGTACCGAATTATCCCTTTCACCCTCCTCCCTCCCCCCTTCCCCTCTGGTAACCACCAATCCAATCTCTGTCCCTATGTGTTTGTTTATTGTTGTTATTATCTACTACTTAATGAAGGAAATCATACGGTATTTGACCTTCTCCCTCTGACTTATTTCACTTTGCATAATACCCTCAATGTCCATCCATGTTGTTTTTTATTTCTTAAACTTTCTTTTATAGTGTCTTTTGCACTCATTACAGGCAATTACCTTTTCTGTGATGTTAATATAGTAAATGCCCCACTTCACTGTCTTATCAGGCTGGACAAAAATAAGCAATATCTAGCTATATGCTATTTAAATAAAAGATATAAACTTAATAATAAAGAAAGGTTGGAAATAAAAGGACAAATGTATACCATCCAAGCACTAACTAAACGAAAGCTATTGTAGCTGTATTAATAGTAAACAAAAAAGAGTTAAGGGGAAAAACATTAATAGAAATAAATGGAGTTACTTTATAATGGTAGAAGGGTTCAATTCACCTAGAAGCTATAATAATTCTGAATATATGTTCACATTTTCTGTGATTTTTAAACTTGCTCTATTATCGATTGCTTACATTTTTTAATTGACTGCTCTGCTGTCTTCCCAATTTCATGCCAGCAGTAAATTTTTAAAATTATTTTGCTTTATAATCTTTGTTCAGCTGATTTCTTATATAAAGTGAATGAACCCCTTATTAATACTAATCCTTTAAGCAATCTACTTGAGCTTACTAGTTCCTTTTGTTTTCAGTTCTCTTTTAGTTCCCATTTGACGAAGGAACAAGGATATTGGCTAGTAGTTAAGAAAGATATTTGATACTAAATTATATAAAACTACCATACATAAGAACATAATTACTGTGAATGATATAATTTACAAAGCTATCACTTTGGAATCTGACTTCTTATGCCCTGTGAATGTGTCTTAGAAATTAAGAACACGCTGCCCATAGGAGGAGGAGCAGCCATGTATTTTGATTCCAACTGCTGTGCCTTTCCATTTCATCGCTTGTGGCTTGTTATTGCGTTTTGGCTTATCGGTAATAATTCTAAGTCATTTCCTTTGTAAGTCATAGGTACATGTGAGAATGCTTACATCTACGTAGTTCTCCCAAATACTTATTCTTCAGAGTGCAGGTATAATCTTTTAGGAGTTCACATAACAATGTGTAAGATATTGCTACACATCTTACTACATACCATTACAGTATTCATTTCTATTCATTCATTGACATAGGAAACATCTACTAGGTGTCTAGTCTTGGATAAGCAGTATTAGCAAAAATATAATAAGACTATATTAGTTTTATTGAACAGAATAATAAATCCTCACTTACCTTTTTGTTTCCTAAGAAATTCAAGCATTTAATTCGATTTCTTATAATGGGGGAGAGGGAGAGCTTTTCCCAAAGAAACATAGACATCATTTTAATTATAAATTGAATTAATGGAAATCTTTAAATTTTGCAGGATGAGAGAGACCCAGAGAAAGAAGATGAACTGGAACTGAAAACAGGTCTTTTATACAGAGACTCTGCCTATGAGAGTGACCCAGAGTATAGGTATGAGTTTGATTAATACAGTATATTAATCTGTAGTTGTTTTTTTTTTTCCTAGTTGCTATAGAAATAACCTGCTTTTTAATCTACTGGATTTGTGGGAAATTTAGACTCTGATTAGTAATTATTTATGTATTTATAGTTATTTATTTATTTATTTATTTTGGTGAGGAAGATTGACCCTGAGCTCACATCTGTTGCCAATCTTCCTCTTTTTGCTGAGGAAGATTGGCCCTGAGCTAACATCTGTGCCCATCTTCCTCTATTTTGTATGTGGGATGCTGCCACAGCATCGCTTGATGAGTGGTGCGTAGATCCATGCCCAGGATCCGAACCTGTGAACCCCAGGGCTACCAAAGCAGAGCATGTGAACTCAACCACTACACCACCAAGCCAGCTCGTATTTTTAACTATATAAAATCCTATTAAAATATTTTAGTGTTTACATTACTGAAATTTTTCAGTGAAAACAAATATAGTCAACTAATGATGAGGCCTTTCATCCTACTTAAATTTAGTGTTTGCCTGCCCTGCAAATGCACGTATCCAGGGCTTATTTCAGGATATATTTATTCTCATCCAAACAATTATTTCCATAATTTTAGACCATGAGTAAACCTTTTTTAATAACAGAAGAGAAATTCTGTTCATCTAGCGTAAAATTTCAGAAATGTTAGTAATAATAAAATTTTTACAAGATTATACTAGCAAATCTCATGAAGACTTTTGAAAGCTCTGTGTCAGTTGCCACAAAATATGGTATTAAAAACTGAATGTAAATTGTGAGTTTATGTAACTACAGGTTCTCTGAATTCTTTGACGCTATACCACTGATTACTATACTGCTTCCACCTTCCTAAGTTTCCTGAAAAACAAGTATAAGAAAAAAGCTCCAGATAATGGAATATGTTTTATTGCTAACTGGGGTTTTGCGCTGGAATCTCTTACCTTTACCCTGGTAAGCTGGACTAGACGTTCTATGAACATGTGAGGACTTGTCCTTTTGCCCCTCACACAGAGTATAAGTGTGCTCCTTTCCCAGAGTTACTGCTTTCCAACCAAGAGGCAACCTGGGCCTGTCATCAAGGTAAATCGTATGTTATAGTTGAGTTTGAAGTGGAAGCAATCCAGACAGGAAAAGGAATGTCCAAGAAAGTGTACACCTTGAGGAAGAAGAATTTTACCCTTTCTTACTTAAAGCTCTGTTCCCTAGATTGCTACTATATGGATTAGCATCTCAATTTTGGGTTCTTAATCCATGTAATTAATTCTAATTTGGGTGAGAAGTGAGTAGGGCTGATAAAGGAAAGGGTCTGATTTTCAAACGTTTTATGCATAATAATTACCTGATTCCTTCTTTTTTTTTTTTTTTTTTTAAAGATTTTTATTTATTTATTTTTTTTTATTTTTTACCCCCAAAGCCCCAGTGGATAGTTGTGTGTCGTAGCTGCACATCCTTCTAGTTGCTGTATGTGGGACTCGGCCTCAGGATGAACGGAGAAGTGGTGCCTCGATGCGTACCCGGGATCCGAACCCGGGCCACCAGCATCGCAGCGCGCGCACTTAACCACCAAGCCACAGGGCCGGCCCATGATTCCTTCTTAAAAATATAGATTTCTACTTTCTACCCCCATAGATTCTGCTTTCTTGAGTAAAGAGGTGAGACCTAGAAATCTGCATTTTAAAAAATATCATGGATGATTCTAATGCAGGTAGTGTTTGTGAAAAGCATTGGTCTCTGTTTAAAGTTTGCTGTAAATCTCAGTATTGGTTCTTTTTCCAGTTCACCAAGCAGTGTTAATGGCTAAGCTTTTGATCACCCCGAACTGTTTTGGTACCTCTCAAGTGAGCGAGTTAAGCAGAGTATCAGGAAAGTTCTGCTTACACGTTTTTGAGATTACTTTATAATCCTTGCCACTTGTCTTGTATACATACTTGGGCCAGGTGGGACAGAGTGGTCAGTCCTTCAAGACCTTTTATAAGAGTATCTTTGATATTAGCTCCAGCAGCTACTGAAATGATCAGGATACTATTTTAGTTTTATCCCTAAGTCATATTATATACTAGGCCAAGAAGTCACTCCCACTCTGCTTTCCATCTCAAAGATGAGAGAACCCACACTCAAAGTAATCACCCACTTCCTTGCCTTAAGGCTTGCATCAGCAGAAATCAAGAGAGAGAGACCGGCTCAGTGGCGCGAGGGGTTAAGTGTGCTCGCTCCACTGCAGCGGCCCCGGGTTCGCTGGTTTGGATCCCGGGTGCGCACTGAGGCACTGCTTGGCAAGCCATGCTGTGGCGGCGTCCCGTATAAAGTGGGGGAAGATGGGCATGGATGTTAGCCCAGGGCCAGTCTTCCTCAGCAAAAAAAGAGGAGGATTGGCAGATGTTAGAACATCTTATTAAAAAAAAAGAAAAAAAAAATCACGAGAGAGCTTTGAATCTTGACTTAATATCACCCCTCTGCAGACGCCGATCACAAGGGTCAAGAGGAAGTCTGCATAGGCCTGTGGAATGGCTAAGTGAGGAGCTCAGCAAATCCTCTCCCCCAAAAGCAACGACAAAACTAGTATGAATTGTCAAATACAACAGTTTAAGGACTCTGAAAAATGGCCAATGGCATATAACAAATTGAGAAGCATTTATCAAGAAAATCTACTGAACCTCAATAAGGGAGGGCTTGAGGCTTACTGCTTGTTGGGGCAGACAACAAAAATCCAGGTTCGGGGCCGGCCCATGGCTTAGCAGTTAAGTGCACGTGCTCCACTATTGGTGGCCCGCGTTCGGGTTGCGGGCACGCACCGACGCACTGCTTGTCCGGCCATGCTGAGGCCGCGTCCCACATACAGCAAACTAGAAGGATGTGCACCTATGACATACAACTATCTACTGGGGCTTTGGGGAGAAAAAGGGGGAAAAAAAACAAAGGAGGAGGATTGGCAATAGATGTTAGCTCAGGGCTCATCTTCCTCAGCAAAAAATAGGAGGGTTGGCATGGATGTTAGCTCAGGGCTGATCTTCCTCACACACACACAAAAAAGTCCAGGGACAGTATAGCCAAAGTTGGCCTTGATAAAGTTCTACTATCCCTGGTAGTCTGGAACGTTATGTATATGCATAAAGCTGTAAGTATGTTCAGGAGCAACTGGAGAGGGTCTTAGGGAGCCACTAGTCCCTGGCTGAATGTGAGGCCTTGTGAAGGCAGAAAGTAGAATCCAGGGCAGACTTGTAAACTGGATAAACTTTGAGTATATTCCCCAAGCCCCACAAAGATCCTTTGGCCGCAGGTGAAAGCCTTATGGGCTTATTGATTCTGACCAATCATTTGCTGGTCACAAAGCTATGCTGACCCAGGGGCAGCATCTTGGAAGCTAGGCATAAAAATAGAAACAATAATTTAAAAAGAAGGAGAAGGAACAAGAGACACCACAACTACACAGTGCAAGAGAGACAGACTCCACAGCATCAAGTCACTAAACAAATAATCAAAAACGTCAACTTTGTTAAGGAGGTCAGAATCCAGAGTTGCTGCAATTTTTATCTAAAATGTCATTTTCAACAAAAAAATTATGAAGCATACAAAGAAACAGGAAAGTGTGACCCATACACATGAAAAATGAGTTGCTAGAAACTGTCTCTGAGGAGGCCCAGATATTGGATTTAGTAGCTATGTTCAAAGGCTAAAGGAAACCATGTTTAAAGAATTAAAGGGAAGTATAATGACAATGACTCATCAAGTAGAGAATGTTAATAAAGAGATAGAAATTATTTCTTTCACATTTTTCTTAGCAAAATTATGCCCCAGACTCAATACTTTATCTTATGATCTAGATATACATTGCAGTTATCAACCATGGAGTATAGCTCGTTATTTCATCTTCCAGACATCAGCTTACCCATGCTAGCTGTCCCATGTCTTCCATCATCTTTGAGAATGGAATTCATTTGGAAGAAATCGCTTATCAAGGAGTTATTAAGTGACCTTTTACTTCTAGTACTTTGGGATTTGGGAGCTGGCTTGGGGAAAAGAATCTACTACCCCTGCAGACTTCCTTCTCACTTTCGTATTGCCTATTGTTTAGAGAATTTTAGACATTTGCTGTGGTAGCCTTGTCAATTCCCAGGGCCCTGGGATGCTCTTTCCTCCTTTTAGTACCTTCTATGTATATTTCAAATTTCTTCAGTTTTCAGGATGTTTAAAATTCTCTACATTGTTGTGCACTTCTGGCATCACTATCCTGTTTGAGCGTTAGTTCTAACTAAAGACCAGGCATGAGGTGATGCTTCATATAGATGAGAGTTGGCCACAAAAAGAGAGAAATAAGGATAAAAATAATTAAGTTCATCTTCAGAATACAACTTGGCCTTTTACAACTATTGCTCCCAATTTTTAAAGATTTTATTTATTTTATTTTTCCCCCCAAAGCCCCAGTGGATAGTTGTGTGCCGTAGCTGCACATCCTTCCAGTTGCTGCATGTGGGACTCGGCCCCAGGATGAACGGAGAAGTGGTGCCTCAATGCGC